AGCAACTCAGTTGGTGTCAAAATATTTAAACGAATCGACTTACCCAAACAAAATCGACCAGAAGACGTTGTAGGCGCCTCCTGTTTTCAGCATTTCTTCTCCATTGTTTCATCAGATGGAGAAAAATAAACATAGCACACGCCACAACACAAGCGCTGGAGCCGGCATTTTCAAACCTGAATGACTACTGGTAGCTTGCGTCGCTACTACGCGTGATGTATGTCTGCGCATCGGCCACGTCGATTTGCATGAAGTGGTGTCTCATCTCTTAGGGAAAGATCTCTACCATAATATTTCTCACTTCCCTCATCAAGGGTTATCTCGCAAACCAGGGCACTCAATACCAAGTGGAAGAGTTAAGGGGTAGAAATGGGACTGGGCCTTAGTTGACCACAGCTGAGATTCTCTGCACTACCACAGCTACCTTTTCCTCCTGCTGATATCCATTGTCTACTCTTTGCAGCGAGTTATTTTGCTGCAAACATTTTTAGTTTTAATTAAAGGAAGAAATGAATTGGTATTTGCAAGTCTTTCTTGATTTTGTCAAGTTAAGTCTAAATTCACCAGATTTGTGACTTGAGTTTGTCTCTACTTGAAGTCATGTGACTCGAGAGAATCGAGTCAAAGAAGGACAGCAAATGAAGCTACGTTAGTACAGGAGTGTGACTCAGAAAAGTCTAGAACCAGCAATTACATGCTTCTATGTACTATCTAGCCCTTTCTTTTAGTTTAGGAATCTGTGTTCTTTCTCCGCTTTTATTTTGTTTATACACAATGAATGTCAGAGTAATGACGCATCAAGATTTGTCCTCAAGTACAGGAATGACTCTGTTATTGTGAGCCGCCTTCATGGATCATAACATGATCATGGCCCATCACTGGATGAATTTGTTATTTGGTGTGACCAGTCTCTCCTCCACTTTAACGTGTCTAAGACCAATGAGATGTTTAGTGATTTTCAGAGGAGGCCCTGCCTTCCTGCTCCTTTTGTAGCAGGAAGCAGTACAAGTGTCTGGGCACTGTCTTAGATGACAAGTTGAATGTTGATCTGTAAGATGGCAAACCAACACCTATTCATTTTAAGGAAGCTGAGGAGTTTTGATGTAGAAAGGACTATCATGAAAATGTTCTATTCTTCTTTTATCACATCAGTTTTCTCTTGTAACACTGTTGGTTTGGTAACGTGAGCCTTAAAAACAAGAACATGTTGGAAGAAGTGGCCAAGTTGTGCTGTAAGATCACTGGTGTTACTTTTAATTACCTCCAGCATCCATACGCAGACAGGGTCACCTCTAAATGTTGACTTTCACACGCTTCCATCAGGGCAGAGGTTTTGCCTCCCTAAATGCAGCACTAAGCGTTACAGATTGTCCTTTGTCCCGTCTGCTGTTGCTTTTCTTAACCAGCAGTGATTATTAATATCCATGATTTACCTCTGGCAGTGTGTGATACTGGATACTGTGTGTTATGTTTCCTCCTGTGTGTCTGTTTTGTTGTAGTCAAGGCTACTGTCTGTATCTCAAATTGCCCCTCGGGACATTAAAGATTTCCTTACCTTGCCTTACCTTACTCACTGAGAGCTCTGTAACAAAACAAACTCTCAAGAGTTGGTATTATCAAAAGTAGATAAGTTTCCAGTTAATTCATTGTCTCTCCTCTTGACTATAAACTTCCTCAACTGGTGCCTCTCAGTGTTTAGTCTTGTTTAGTCCCAGTCTGTAAAACCTAGATCAACAGGACTGAGTTTAACCAAAATGAAACCACGTGCCAAACAATCAGAGCCTAAAACTCAAGCCACATGGCAGAATGTGGAGGCACACAGGAGGAATGAAAATGTATGATTCAGCACTCAGATCTTTGGTTTTTAAGACTCGAGACTGAAGGTAAACAAGGGTTTCACCCTCAGGGCCTGGAGACAGACTCTGCTGGTGTAAGCAGAGTCAGCACCATCTCACTTCTAAAACTTCTGCATCTTTTTTATAGGAAATGAAACAATGGAATAAAAAAGTAGTAGTCCAAAGAAAGTACAAGTATATTTAACCAAGCCATGGAAACAGGGAGTTAAAGATAGCAACCCTGTGTTGCAGGGCTAGGATGTTAAAAACAACACCTGCTCTTTTTGAGATTGTGTCAGGTAAGAACAGAAAAAGTTGCAGTTGTGTTTATTTCCTGTGTTGTGGTGCTACAACACTTGGTCTAAGATTCAGGTTGCTTCAAGTGTAGTTCATGCGTCGTTTCAATTCACTTGTTTCCGTATTTTAACTACACTTTAAAATCTTCTCTTTTTCTCCTTGAGAGCACTTCTAAACTCTCCTCATAAAGGGTAGACGTGATCACCTGTTGCATTTCTGACTAAATCCACATCTTGCTGTCACACAGTTTGATATTCGTCTGCTTTCCTCTTGTAATCCCTCCAGACTTTTCTCATTTACTTTAACCTTAACCACAAGAAGTGCTTTCATGGTCTTAACTTTTATTTTCTTGCCTCCCAACACCCTTGCGTGATGAGCCTCTTTATCTGTCCCCTCACCTGTCCGACACACAACTCCTCACCTGCAGAGCCCTGTTGTTCTGCTTCACACTGTAGATAGTTATCTCAGCACGGACGGATAACTTTAAGGTCCCCACCACTGTGCCGGCCAGACACAACCCAGACACCATCAGATAAAACGCCACAAGGTGTTCATCATTGTTCTGCTAATCTACGCTCCATTTCAGCAACCCTGCTGCACTTCGTTCCGTGGGTATATACGGGTCCGTGGGTATGTGAACAGCGTGAACCAGCTTTTATCTCAACGAAGTAGGGAAATCTATGATTGAGAGTAAATAGATGAGGAAAGGGAAGACAGATAGGACACAATGTGTTAAGCCCTAATTTCTTTTCCAGTTTTATTTCTCACTAAAGAATCATTACTTAGGATTAATTGGTGTATTTTAACAACCAGTTCCGGCACTTCTACGTGACACATCCTCATTAAAATCTTACTTTTCTAAATGTTTCTTTTGTGTAATTATTCTTCAGAAATTGCTCATTTCCATGTGTTGCCTTTCTTTTGTATGTTTTTTTTTTTTTTTTCAGAAAGCTCCCACAGGTTTTGAAACTTCTCAGAAGTTTACAGATTTTTAGAAGTAAATATAGATCAAAAAGTTTTTCTGAATAAATGGAAATCCTGGTTTGTTATTCAAGTATTACAGAAGCTTGTATGAAGATTCATCAGCCTTGTCTCTGCCCTCAGTTTGACACTGTAACACCAGAGATCTTGGATTTAGACCGTTGACCACAGACATAAAAGCTTTTTGCCAACCTTGGATGTAACAGAGAAGCCCTTTTAGATCCTGTGAATGTCCGTATATTTGATCTCCAACTATACGTGGTGACCCTGTTCTAAATATAGCCTTCTCCAACATTTTCCACCGGTGAATCTGTGCTCTACAAATTAAAGCTTTTATTATTACAGTAATGAAAAATAATCAAATATTTGTTATCATGTTAGTATGACACCACATTATGTGTAAACCTGACGCACCAGATGGTTTGTTACACACAACCATCTGAGAAGCAATCATTGGAAACTGTTTGGAAAAGGGCAGGCACTTTCATGAAATGCTTGGCAGGTGAATGGATGAACCATCTGTCTGTCACCGTCTATCATCAGCCAGTTGGGAGAAGAGTGAAAACATCTTTTCCATCTAGAAAAACCGTCAATGAGAGATACTCTCCAGTTCTGATGTAACTGATGCATCTACACTGTATGCTAACCTCTGTAGGAGCCGCCATGGTTGGTTTGAAGGAGCAGTCGCCTCTCCATGTCATTATACACATACAAACTACACTGTAGGGATGAGCAAGTACACTATTATCTGTATCTGTTCAACCAACTAAATTATCTGTATCTGCACCTGGAATGGGTGGGGTTTATGACAATAGTGGGTGGAGTTTAAATTGTAAGTGGGTTGGGCAAGTACACCATTATCTGTACCTGTATCTGTATCTGCATCTGCATCTGTATCTGTATCTCTATCTGTACCTGTATCTCTATCTGTACCTGTATCTGTATCTGTTCAACCAACTAAATTATCTGTATCTGCACCTGGAATGGGTGGGATTTATGACATTAGTGGGTGGAGTTTAAATCGTAAGTGGGTTGGGCAAGTACACCATTATCTGTACCTGTATCTGTACCTATATCTGTATCTGTTCAACCACCTAAATTATCTATATCTGTAAATGTACTCAGAATGGGTGCAGCTAGAACCAGAAGTGGGTGTTGCATGGACTAGAAATGGGTGGGACCAAACCAGAAGTTGTTAATTTAAGCCTGAAATTGATTAGAAGTTGCTATATTTATTATTTATTGGAAAACTACTCACAGAACAATCTCAGGATTCAGGTCAGTTTTAATCACAAGAGTAACAGATCAAATATAGCTATCTAAATGGGTTTTCCTTCATCACCAGTACAGATATTACTGGTGATAGAGATATATACTCATACTGCTCCTCACAGCATGCTGATTTGTGACATGTGACTTAAAGCCTGACAAGATGGATTTGAGTGTGATCCCATTGTTCTCGCATGATCTTGTGATATCACAAGAATCTGTGTTCCCTCTGAATCCAAAAACAGAAATTTAAACACAAACAGGATTTTTCCAGGCACTTCATCTCGGTGACGGAACAAAAGTACAGTGGTAGAAGCAACTTGTGACTTTGGTGGTAACCTTAGATTTGCAGACTCTTGCAAACCTCCTAAAAATATTCTTGTCTTGCTGTTTTATGGTGTGACAGTGCTGTGGTTTAGGTCTGGTTAGGTTTAGGCACAGATAATGGTTTCAGGTTGAAATGCATGTTTAAAACATGGAAAATTAAATCTCATGGAAGTTTTCATGAGTTTACTATCCAGACAGGATTGACTTTGATGTTGGCTTGCTGTTTATCTCTATACAGTATGATGATGTAAGAAATGTAAGCCTTTCTTCTCATGTGTGTCCTTCCTACAGAGTGCAGCTCAGACTGTCAGCGCTGCACAGCTGACCTCCAGATGGGTGTTGGCAGTATTTGTCTGTGGTGTAAAGTGCCGAGGACCTGGCTGCTGGGCGACCACTGCATCTCCCACTGTCCCCACGGACACTACGGCTGGCACGGAGCCTGCATCAGTAAGGACTTTCACTTCCCTGCCTATATACAGTATATAACAAGGTCAGAGGTCAGGCTGGAGCTCCCCTGAATGTAAAACATGCAAGAATAATACCACCAACGCTTGTATGTTTTATTCATCCATCTAAGATCTTGAAATTGGGGTCATGTTGTTGACCTGGTACAAATTTTTTTCTTGACCCTCTTCAAAGAAGAATGACTGAATACAAAGCCAGTGTTTAAAAAAACATTCTGCTTTATGAATAAGTCTTTACTATGCCACGGGTTATTCTTTTTATTTAGCAGTGGAATTTATTCCAGTGTTCATCTCCTCAGGCTGTAGAAGGACATAAGGAAACTGCTCAGAGATACACTTCCTGATTCTGTTATAATGCCCAGTAGTGCACTAAATCCCCAAATTTACTCCCAGCTCACTGTCGATGCTTTAACGCTCAACTGCAAACTGTGTAGAGATTCAAAACAATGACTGAGCAGATATTTGGGGATTTGGAGGAGTTACTGTATTCGAGGAAACCTGTATTATTGTTTAAACTGTTGCTGTGTGTGAGAAATGAGAAAACAAAAGGCTTCATGTTGGAAAAAGACGAGAAGTGTTTTAGTGAATCACTAGTACAGGATTATGTAGCTATCATCACCCCCATTGGAATCATTATAGTGATTGTTATTACATCATCGTTATTGTACTCATCAACATTTTCTCATCATTCTCATCAGATGGTGTATTAATTAAAGGTACACACAACTGAGTGCAACAGTCATGACATATTGCCGTTGCAAATAACACTGCAAGCTCTCTTTGTCGGCACTGGAGGTTTTTAACCAGACTGTATTAAATAATAGACTTAGCCACCGTCACGTCACCCATAGGTTTGTGGACTCCTTTTTTGAAGCATCCAGTTTGGCGTTTTCGCTGTTGCCATCTTAAATTTTTGGAGCCAGAAGTGACATTGTTTGGACAAGATGGTTAAGCTAACCTTAGTTAGCTGCTAATGCTAATTTTGCTAGTGAAAAACTAGCTTAAAACCATTGAATCAAAATGTACTTGCCAGAAAAAAACATCTTACTCCTCATGTTATGTTCTCACCAGGTGCGAATAAAACAATTTGCGTGAGTGATATATTCGTAAAGTCAATGTAAAGACATGATTAGACGCAAATTCCTGCCTGGTAGAATGACACAAATAGTGCAATTTTATGTTTCTCGAGAGTTAGAAAATCTGAAGTTCAGTTACCAATTCGTCCCACGATAGCCAACCATCATTGAGATCCTTCGGGGTCGTATGACTCCAAGAACATACCAGCGGAAGCTCATTCATCGATTCAGCGATTTCGCATACTTATGACATGAGTTTTTTTGCGTATATGAAGCGAGTCATCACAAAATATTCTGGCGTTCAAGCTCTAGAACACAACATTAGAGGGTCTTTTAGGCCAACCAAACACTAAACAAGACTTTTTAGGCGACCAAAACGTCACAGTTCACTGTATAAACTGAAAACACACTGAAATAGCAACAGCTACGACTACGCCTGTAAATCTGTGAATCTGAGTTACACCATGGTTACGTTGTCGCTGTGGAAGCGACTTGTCAATGAACAGCACCCACCTGTCACTTAAAGCAGCCTCACCCTTAAAAATGCATAACTTTAAACCTTAATAAAATGTAAACAGATGAATTATATAAAAACTGGACCCCTGTAGTTGCCGTGAATGTTGGAATTAGCTATCAGGACCAAAACTGTTTCTGTACCAGGCTGTAAACATGTTTATTTCTGCTATAAAGTTGGGTTATTTGACATGGAGGTTTATGGGGACTAGCTTCTGGAGCCAGCCTCAAGTGGTCATTAGAGGAACTGCGGGTTTGTTTCAGCCCTGGAGGTTGCGTCTTGCTTTGTACACACTTATGGATGCACACAGGGCTGTTACAGGACTCTGGACTCCAAGAACTTCAAGAGCACAGAGCTGTATTTAGTTGTTCAAAACTTTCCATTGTCCACTGTGTTCTGCGTTATTATACATCCATTGTTTTCCTCTGTTTGACGCTTGACTGGCGTTCTTTTAATTAGGGGAAAATTAGCGCCACCCTCTTCTTATCTCAGCGAACCCATTCCCAGTATTCACATAACAGCAGTGGCTGAAAAAGTTCATAAGGTCACATTTTCTTGTGCCAACTTTCTAAATAAATGTGGTTAAAATTTGCGCTACATATGGAGGGAAACCCACCTACTGTCTTCATCACCCTCCTCATCATCCTAATCCCCCTGACCACCATCATCTCTATTCTCCTGGTCCTCGTCATAATCACTGTCGCCTTTTCATCATCATCACCTTCATCATCATGCTGTGGTTTAGCAGCTCAGCAGCTGTAGCTGTTGCCTCCATACGGAGCTGCTGTAAATCTGCGCACAGATGTAAATGCAAAGTGTGAACAGGAAGCTTCAGGCTGTGAGAGCAAAACCTCTGGAGTCTCATTTAACTGAGCCATAGGCACTCACCTCCATGCACACACACACACACACACACACACACACACACACACATAGCCTATATGTATGCAAAAAGAAAGATAGACAGAAATAGCACTTGTATATACAAACCAAACAAGCACAAATAAACCTCAGCTTACACACAGATGCTGTTGATTCAGGCCTGATGATACATTTCGCCACCTCAGAGTGAATTTTAGTGAAGTTTCCATCTTTTCAGCCGTTTTTTGGTGGTGTTGATAATTAATATGCACGGCTGGATATAAGAAGTGTGTGGTGGGGGGGTGCGGGGTGTGGGGAGTGTGAGCAGCAGAGCAATCTGAGAATGATTAGACCCTTGATAGTGATTAGTGAGACTTATGAATATGTATTTTTAAACTCAAGAATGTGGCTTTAATTAGAATTTAGCATGATTTTTTTTTTCATCAAGGACTTGATATTTCAGCAGCTTTTAGTCCTCCAACTTTTCTGAGAGTTTCAAGATGTTCACAGTGGGTGTGTTACTACAGTTATGATTTCATACTGCATATTCTGTTCTTATATCATGTTCTCCTTGTATTATGCTTCCATGGGTCAGTTCCCAACAATGCTGTGTTATTTTACTGTTTACCTCGTTCATAAATTCTTAGCAGTAAGTTTATGTGTTGATACTGTCGGTTGTGACACGTTCATGCTGCATTATTCTATTTTATCTCACATGTTTATGCCTCTGGCATTATGTTGTCGGGTTGTTCATCCGTCCATCCAATTTTCGTAAAAGCAATATCTTAAGAACGCCTTGAGGGACTTCAAAATTTGGCAGAATTGTCCACTTGGACTCAAGGACGAACTGATTAGATTTTGGTGGTCGTAGATCAAAGGTCAAGGTCACTGTGACCTGGTCTGTCTTTTTCTTGTGAATGCCATATGTCAAGAACAAATTGAGGCACTTGCTTCACATTTGGTACACACATCCACTTGGACTAAACGATGAACTGATTAGAATCTGGTAGTCGAAGGTCAAGGTCACAGCGACCTTGACCTTTGACCTTGAGGGAGTGCTCTCAAACCATGAGCACCTTGAGGGTGTTCCCTTGAATTTGGCACAAATGTTCACTTGGACTCAACAGTGAACTGAGTAGAATTTGGTGGTCAAAGGTCAAGGTCACTGTGACCTTACAAACATGTTTTTGCCCACAACTAAAGAATTCATATGCTAAGTATGCCAAAATGTTTAAAAAAAAGGCTAATAGGATAGCACCATAAAGTGGAGGTCAAAGGTCAACTTCACTGTGACATTGTAAAGTTCTGTAAAAATATCTTTCTGGCTGTTATTCAACATCATATCTCAGGAACAGAGGGGGAGACATTTGGTCAGATACTGAACTGATGACACTAATCTTGGGTGTCCACCTGAAACTGTGCTGATTGTGTAGATCTTCTGTGCATAGGGGGGAGATGTGTGTGGAGCCTGCATGTTGTCACGGACATTCTCTTTTTCTTTTTACCCAGAATGCCATCCATCATGTGATGCCTGCAGTGGGGCGGGGCCTCTCTCCTGTACCTCCTGCCCCGCCGGCAGCGTTCTGTTGCCCTCTGGGCTCTGTGCTCCCAAATGTCCCCTCGGTTACTATGATAATGGTCACAGGATGTGTCAGGGTAAGTAGGGTAACTGCCTCTGCATCCTTCTCACCTGGAAGATAAGATATATAGATTCAGGGATGCTGGTGCACAGAATCTATAGCAGTAACACCTCCAAGATTACATCTGAGATTACATGGTGTCCGGGGATTCCTTGATGACTCACAGGCGGTGGACAAAATAATGAAAACACTGCACAGCACAATAGTAACTTTATACTTCTCCTATTATACTTTTTACTGCGCTACATTGTCTGACAGTGTTTTTTGCTTTTCAGATCACAGCTTTTCATCCCCTTCCTTTCCAGTGAAAACAATGTATCTTAAGATTTGCTGATGTTGAACATTTGTGATAAACTGAAGGATGAAGTGTTCCTTTGTGTGTTGAGAAAATTCTCCTACTTCTTAAGCTAAATAAACTCTAAAAAACATCTTGTATCAGCTGGAAAATGCATCGTCACAAAGCTGAAAACGGCTGTTTTTTTGACACCATGAAAAGTTGACTTTTTAAAAATATGTGGTTCTCACAGGGTAGTCTCGCCACCAGACAATCAGAGATTTCCGCCTTCCGACTATCAGAAGGCGGAAATCTCTGATTGTCTCGCCACCAGACAATCAGAGATTTCCGCCTTCTGATAGTCTGGGGACACTCCTTTCTAAAGTGTGTTTAACACACCGGCGAAAACGGCCGGCAACAAAGTAACGCCTCTTGCATTTTTGAAAATGACACGTCTTCTCGGAAATGTGCGCTCCCCCTTTTTTCGTCCGCAAGGAAACAAATACACAGAGAGCTTGAAAATGGATGCCGAGAGATTAAACTCCGTTTTATCAAACGTGTGCTCATCCGTGAAGAAAATATTTTTTTTCCAGCGGGTGTCTTAGTTACAACATGATTGAGCTAACTGGAATAGTGTCATGTCGTATCCGACAACGGGAGGCTTTTAACAGATGACGTCCAGATGTTAGCTTTGCTGCTAGTGTTAGCTGTCCCTGTCAACTGATGCTTTCTAGACATCGTGATTTCCCAAAACTGAATAAATACCACACATAGCAACACAAAACTGCTTTGCTAGCTCAACCATGTTGTAACTAAGATATCAGCTGGAAAAGATATTTTTTTCACAGACCGTTTAATGAGTTATTACCTATTACAGACACCGCTAACGGCTAAGAGGGCTAACAGCTAATGGTTAGCCCAGCTAAACGTGCCCACAGAAATAGTAATATTTGTTCAATCATTGTGTTTATAGACTTTACAAACATGGGATTAGTCTAAACGGTGATACAGTGATGGGAAAAATGTGATACATAGGCTATATATATAGCTAAAAGCTCTGCTGGTTTACTACCCGGACTATAGAGGCAATCGCCTTGTTGTTTACAAGACGATTGCCTCTATAGTCCGGCCAGACGGATGAGTCATGGCCTTGTAAAAGATTATGTTTGTTTCTTTTAGTTGGTGAGAATGTGTCGCCGCAAACGCGACATCCACTAACTTTGACGGAGTTTTCTGCGAGCGCGGCTGAGCCATTTTGTACCGCTACACGTGTTTCTAGTGGGACTATGTTTACAAGCACAAGAGTTCAGTGAGCCACCGAAGGACCGCCCTGCAGATTTACTACTGGTTCTGCAATGTAGGGTGTTTTTTTAAACTCTGAAATTGTATCCGCCCATCTAAACACAAAATCAGGGAGAAAGTCATCAGTCTTTAGTTAAGCAAAGCGTCTAAAGACTGACTTGTGAGTCTACTCGCAGGGAAGTCATGCTACAAACATACAATGATCTAAGGTCTGTAGATTAAACTATCCAACAGTATATTAAGGAGTTAAAATGAGCACAGCCTTAAACATTGACAGCAGTAGAATGCAACATACAAAGGAAAACACTGACAGGGAACACTTTCTTGCACAATCAATACTTTACTTATGATATTCAAACTACATTACACTGATACATACTTTAACATTTTGAATGCAGGACTTGTAGTGTAGTAATTTCACAAAACAGTATTTTTACCTCACTAAAGGATCTGAATACTTCTTCCACCACTGCAGCACGGTGGTTCTGTGAAAAAGATGAAAGCTTTGTGTACCTCCTGTTCATCTTTACTGATAAAGTTCACTGATGTCCTTCTCCACCTTCTGCACTATATCTGTTTACAGTATTCGTGACTGACGTACCTGCGATTGAAGCAGGAGTTCTGTATTGTTTGAACTTACATAAGTCGTCTTATGTTGCCTTGAGAAAAGCTGACACATACAGCTACCGGTATTCAGAATAATTTGACTTAACATTTGCAGAAGCTTTAGTGACTACAAAGCACTCAGACAGTGCATACCTCTGCCAAGGCTGCTTAAAAATAAACGTAATGAAAGATAATCATGGGATGCATGAGCCAGGATTTTTTTTCATTCAAGTACATGCAGTTGGTTGATGAGAAAATTGTACAAATATTTATAAATGCCCTGCCTTGACTTATTAATAAATCCTTTGAATGATTCCTGGACTTGCACACAAAATTAGCTGTTTTTGCTTTTGTGTGTTGCCTGACTTTCAGCGAAATTTCCTGTAGGTATGAGGGTTATTTTTATGCTTCTGTGCCAGTAATAGCTGTGGCATTATAAGAGGCATAATGTTTTCAGGTTGTCCATCTAATCCCTTTGTCCGTCCGTCCATCCCATTCTCGTGAACACTATTTCAAGAGGGCTTTGAGGGAATTTCTATCAATTTGGCACAAATGTCCATTTGGGCTCAACAATGAGCCAGTTAGTCTTTGGTGGTTAAAGGTCAAGGTCACCGTGACCTTATCTGTCTCATTCTTGTGAAGGAAATATCTCAAGAATACCTAGGGGGACTTTTTTTTTTCAAATTTGGCACAAACATTCACTTGGACTCAAAGATACATTCAATTTTGGTCGTCAAAGGTCAATGTCACCATGACCTTTCATCCATCTCATTTTTGTGAATGCGTTATCTCAAGAATAGCTCCAGGGAATTTCATTAAATTTGCCTCAAACATCCATTTTAAGTCAAGAATGAACTGATCAGAATTTGATGGTCAAAGGTCAATGTCACTGTGACCTCGTGTCTGTCCTTTTTTGTGAACAGGACATCTCAAGACGCCTTGAGGGAATTTTTTATTTTTATTTTTTTTTAATTTGGCACAAATGTCTACTTGGACTCAATGAACTGATAAACTGCTTAGTTTTGGGTAGTTAAATGTCAAGGTCACTGTGTCGTCTGTGTCAAATTACCTCAAGAACATCTTGAGATAATTTTTTCAGATTTGGCACAAACATTCACTTGGACTCAAAGATACATTCAACTTTGGTGGTCAAAGGTCAATGTCACCATGACCTGTCATCCATCTCATTTTTGTGAATGCGTTATCTCAAGAATACCTTGAGGGAATTTCTTTAAATTTGGCTCAAACATCCATTTTGGGTCAAGGATGAACTGATCAGAATTTGATGGTCAGAGGTCGAGGTCTGTGCGACCTCGTGTTTGTCCTTTTTTGTGAACATGACATCTCAAGACGCCTTGAGGGAATTTTTTTATTTTTTTTTATTTGGCACAAATGTCTACTTGGACTCAACAAACTGATGAACTGCTTAGTTTTAGGTGGTTTAATGTCAAGGTCACTGTGACCGTGTCTGTGTCAAATTACCTCAAGATCTTTTCAGATTTGGCACAAATGTTAACTTGGACTCATCGATGAACTAATTCAATTTTGGTGGTCAGAGGTCAAGGTTACCATGACCTTGTGCCAGTCTCATTTTGTGAACAGGATATCTCCGAAACAGCAAGAGCAATTTTTTTCAAATTTGGCACAAACTTCCACTTGGACTTTTAAATCTAAAAGGCCAAAAGTCAACATCACTGTGACATCTTAATGTTCTGCAGTATGAAAAACACTTCTGGCGATTACTCTGTGCTGTTGGGGGGATGATGTGTGTGAAACATCCATGTTTTTACAGCCATGGATGTAACAGGCAAAACAACACAACACATTCTTGTTGGATGTCATAGTCATAGTGTAACTGTAGTCTTATGAGCCGGTGGATCATTTGCAAACTCAACAAAAGTTGTGCAACAAAAGTGTCAGAAATGATGACAAATGTGAAACATGATAAAACCATATTGTCCAAGAGTTCAATACTTTGACCATCCCTGGATCCAACACAGCTACATTTAGCCAGTATCTGGTGGCGGCTGGTGTAATTACATCCTGTCACTGATCTCTTCCTCTCTGACCTTGTATCTAACCTGACCTCCATGTCCCTGCAGCGTGTGACAGCCAGTGCCTGACGTGCGACATGGCCGGGGTTTGTACATCCTGCCGTGACCCGGCCAAGGTGCTGCTGTTCGGAGAATGCCAATATGACAGCTGCGCCCATCAGTACTACCTCAACACCACGACCCGGGCCTGCAGAGGTACGCAGCCATCACCATGACAACCCAACACACACTGCAGGGGCACAGGAAAGGAGAGGGAGAAACACTGGGTTAATAATGAGCATATGTAGTGCGCCCTTTATGATATCCATAAATTATTCTCCATCCATATTGCATGTAGTGCAGTGTGCTACATCGAGTTTATGGGGTCCATTGATCAAGTAATAAACTGTGGGACCAGATATGCAAATCCTAAACATTGCGTGTGCGTTTTTTAACTTAGTATTAAATCTTCCAGTGTGCAGAGAAGCTGATGAATGAGCCTCAGAGGATCCATGACCACACTGACTAACTTGTCCTTTCTTTATTCTGCATGCAATAACTCTGTTCGTATATTTAATTACACACTAACCAGCCCGGACCACATCCTGTCAGACTGAATCTCACTCCGCTTTAGTGCCAACTCACAAATAAGATGTGTGAAAATATGTTTTCTCCTTTGTGCTTATCTCGAAGAGTAATGACTAGATGGGATTTAGGTTCAGAATGCAAACATCCCGACTGTGTTGTCATGCTGGCTTAACACTGATATCAACTCTAATTCACAGAAAGCCATTTCATGTGAAGCTTACTACTTCCAACAAAATGTCACCTCGCAGACTTCCCTCTATCAGCGATTTGGTTCAATGTAATGAGATTTTTACAGGTATCAGGGGCCCAAAGGAACTGGCCCCTGAGGTGGAACCACCGCCTCCCATGTCTAACACGGGATTAGAAACTAAGCTAACCGCTAGTGGCAAGATAGACAGTTTGATTTCCTGTGAGGCAGCTAGCAGTGCCTCCCAACTCGACAGGTGGTTTCAGCCATCCAGCCCATGATGCTGTGTTTATCCCCCCAGCTAGCCGCAGTCGCTACCTGGATAATCCACTGAACCTTGGATGAACCCAGAGCGATAGAAAGCAGCACTGCTTGCTGCTCTCTGAAAACTGAAAGGGCTTTGAAGACCCTCTGGGAGACTTTGAGCCACAAGGGAAATTTCCCTGAGAGATTCTCTAGCAGTATAACCCCATCAGCACTTCTACAAACAACCTACATTCATTTGGATTTATCAATGATCTTTTTCTCAGGAGAACCCCCTAATTTTACCTCTAAGCTTATTTGGATTCTCAGGAAAACCCTGTAGTTTAGTGTAGTGTAGTGTAGTGTAGTGTAGTAGCTTTCTACTCTCCCGCTGTGATGTAAGAAAGTAAATGGTGTCAGAGTTTCAACTATGTAGGTTTGGACCCGTGTGCAGAACTGACTGATGAGGAGGCAGGCAGGAAAAGTGCAATGATTTACTGTCAAAAATGTAACAACCCTGGAGTCTAGAGGAATGCAGGTAATGGCAGGCAACAGGTGGAGGTAAATCCAAAATGCATCCAGGACACTTGGAAAACTAAACTCTAGGGGGAAAAACACCTCAAGGAAGAAACAGCTCAAACAAATCAGTGGAGGAGGTGCAGACAACGAACAAAGAGCTGGGTTAGTATATATAGGGAGTGACTAACACAAAGAACACAAAGAAATGAAACCAGAAACAACACAGAAGATATAAGAAAATGAAACAGGAAACATGACTGAATAAAAGCAACAAAGTAAGACTGAAGACCTAAAACCTAGAGAACAAAATCCTCAATAAAGAAACATGCGAAAACAAAGAGAGATTAAAGATATGGCAGATAGTCTTAAACAGAAGTCTGAGGGCCTCTGGCAGGACTTTGACAAATGGTAGAGGGTGAAGATATGAACGGTACGATGTGTTACTGGTGTTTACCAGCAGGACAGTGATCAAAAAGAATCTCCTCTTCAGGATTTAGTCATTTCAAGGAAATGAGGATGTTTTTGGGTAAATATAAAAATGTGGAACTTACGTTAAGATCTAAATGTGGATCGCAGTTTTCTTTTCCTCACCATATGACTCAGAAAAAGTTCACTGATAGTCCAATAATTAGTTTACCAGAAAAATAAAGATGTTAATTGTTAGCAACTATGGTGGCCTTGCTCAAGGGATACCAGTGTGAGTCAGTCAGTTGGTCCACCACTTTACTAAAAAGCAAAAAATCTCACAAACTGAAGGACAGATTGTCTTTTTCCACAGACCCTTATACTAGACAATGTATCTTAATGAGTTTCTGTGTTGCACGTCCAGCATGTCGACAGTTCTTGAGTGAAATTACTTTACAACTATTGAACGTTTCTCCCCACAGATGATAATACGTTTGGTGATGATATCATAATGCTCTTAACATGTTAAACCCTTGCTTTATGAGCTACCAAACTCATTTAAACTGAGCGGTTTATTAATTAACTTCACCAGAGGATCAAAACAAACTTTTATCCGTCTTACAATTTGGTTTTCTTTACGGTTGGCATAACTGTCCAATAAAGCCATTAGCCTGGCTGCACACTCTTTAACATGTCAGTTTAATAATCACACATTTTTTTGTTGAAACTTTATATTCTGTATGATATAAAGGCTCTCTGGTTTCCTCTGTAATCGCAGTAAGTCATCTCTTCTTTGTGAAATCTGTGTCCTACTTTACTTTGAATACAAACCTGGAGGCTCACACAAACACAGAGGGTTTTATTTGTCCTAATTGTGTTTAATTCTCTTGTCAATATTAATGGAGCGCAGCGCAAACACAACAGATGTGCAGGTGATAAGAGAGAAAGGGAATTAAAAAACACAAACAGGTTTGGAATAAACCCCCTTGTTGAAAAGAGTTTATTAATCTCTCTTGCTCTCTCTCTCTCTCCCTCCTCTCTTCTGTCCTGTTCTCACCTTTTGCTCTCACTTCTAATCCCGACATCCCCGCACACAAACACCTACACACCTCCTCCTCCTCTGCTGCTCTCCAACCTGTTTCCAGAGTGCGACTGGAGCTGCAATGCCTGTAAAGGCCCTCTGCGGACAGACTGCCTGCTGTGCATGGAGGGATACGTGTTGCAGGATGGAGTGTGCACTGAGGGGTGCTCCCCCGGCTCCTATCAGGACGGAGACAAATGTCTCGGTCAGTTCAGCGAAGAGCAGATAAGCTGACTCACATCACACTGAGCAACAATGAATGTGTGCAGCTACGATAGATTAGATTAGATTAAACTTTATTGTCTTTGCACAGAGTATGGGTACTGAGACAACAAAATGCTGTTAGCATCTAAACCAAAATGCAAATTTTGCAGAATAAAATAAAGAATAATCTGTACCACCAGCTGCACGTATTTATCCTTCTTTTGCTCTGTTTTCTTTTATCTTCCTGCATTAGTGAGTGGTTGAAATAGCTGTTCAGAGATTTTTTTATCATCTGTTTCTTATTAAAACAGTTAATCAACAGCAGGGGATCCAAGAGGTTCCTTGAGACCCCTTTACCAGTCTGAACTCTGATGGTTTTCCATGAACTGCTCAGGTCAAATTCCTCTTGTTAAGAACATTAAAGTTCTTTACAGCTCTTTTTTAATCGATGTGAACCACCGTATTGTAATATAATCATAATAATGTTTTTATTACATGCAAAATATTCTCCCATGTGCCAAATTGTCATCATTAAAATCTGAATGTAATCCACAGAAAACTAGAAATTAAGTAAATGTGCATTTCAATTTTGAAAATATTATAGAATAAATGTTTTTCATGTCTTAGTCATTCCCTTTGAAGCTCCAACTTCCTGTCACTTCAGTTTGATCCTTTTGTTTAATGCTCTCAGTGTTATTCTGTCTCTCTGCCAGGCTGTGACGATCACTGTTTGGAGTGTCGGGGTCCCGGGCAGTGCCATCAGTGCCAGCCTCCCTACGCCATGCTGCAGGGTCAGTGTGTGCTGGAATGTGGCAGAAACTACTTCCTGGACGCCTCCTCCCAAATCTGCAAACGTAAGGCTTCATTGAAAACAATGCTTTTTTGTAAATTTCTTGTATTTCATGTCTATTTAAAGGTCCAGTCTGTAGGATTTAGGGAGATAAATTGGCAGAAATGGAATATAATATAGTATAGTGTATATTCTTTAGTGTATAATCACCTGAAAATAATAATTGCTCTGTTTTTGTTACCTTTGACTGAGCTGTTTATATCTACATAGGGAGCAGGTCATCATCCATGGAGATTCACATTTTGCACTGCCATTTTCGACAGTAGCCCAGGATGAAAAAACCAAACACGGGCTCTGGATAGGGCCGTTCACATTTTCATATTGGCCACTGTAGTTAGAAGCCCCTCCATGACAGGCAGCATCGGAAAAAACCCACAGATTTGCAGTGTGGAACAGCATTATTCTGTGTTTTTACCGGATTAAATCTCGCCGGGAGAAGTTTCAACTGGTTGCAATCTGCATTCCTCACCACTAAATCCCCTTAAATCTTACACATTGAACCTTTAAAGCCACAGTGTGTAGGAATTTCTCCCATCTAACGTTGAAATCATATATTGCATTCAAACTGATATTGCACTCTAGCGCCTCACTGTTTGAAATGCGTATTGCAACAATGGTAGCTGCTGTGTGCCAAAAAGCTATGATAACATTGATGAAACCATGTCATCTGATACTTCATGGAGTATTCATTCAGGCTCCTACACAGACACACGCGACACGAGTTGACAAACCCCCTCCTCACCATGCTGGCTGTGTTTACAACGTAGGACTGTTGGGGCGGATGTAAATTGAAACACACCAATCACGTCTTGTCTTTTGACAACTGACAAGTGGCTCAACCTCACACACCTCATCCCTCTCCTCGCATCACTGTGCCACTGACAGCCCCGCTGGCCTGTGATTGCATTGGTCTGGCCTGCCTGTTGGGAAAAAAATGACAGGCAGGCCAGTCACAGCATCCTTTTAAAACCTTTCTCCTTCAGCAGCTCTCTCCACCTGGGAAAGGCTACCCCGATGTTGACCCTCGTTTTTTGAATTCACCGGTCACGTTGCCTTTTTGATTCACTTTTGTGCTTTCTTGGCGACAGGGATTCCATCTCCCGTGATGCTGCATATGCATGATGCTGCATTATGCTCAAAGAGTGGGACTTTGTTATGCTGCAGTAGTGCTGGGGTAGTTAGTGAAGCGTTTCTTGCTCCTCTCCTTCGGCTTCTCAGTCACACAGCGCAGGCCCGCCTCTCAACGATAACGCCGAAGGCAGGGCTTTTCCCGTGTAGTGCTATATGTCCCTTGCTGGCTGATGTATTTTCAAGATGGTGGAACATTATATAACCCCCCAAAGGACTTACCCGCCCAATGTACAAACAAATCTGAAATTCTCTGTTTACAAGAATAAGTCAGATTATTGGTGGAGGTAATATTACACCAGTGATGACATATTTATGAATGCAGACATCGATTTTTGCCAATAAACAACTGAGAACGCTACACACTGTCCCTTTAAGGAGTCCAAGACATGATTTCAAAAACAGGTGTATGTGCACGGTCAGTTTATCAATTTGGCTTAAAAATGAGAAATAAATACAGTTAGGAAGCCTTAAAATTCTTTTGAGGAAAAAGGATTATAGGAACATTGTGTCCAACACAGTAACAAGATTTTTAAGTAGAAATTTGAGAATGGAAATATAAAAAAACACATTGTGTGGTTTAGCTATATACCATCACAAAGAGTGAATATAAAAGGTGTACAAGCTTTTAAAACGTTCCTTCTAACACTGACCAACTAATCTACGTCTTCTTCAGCTTGCTCGTCCGACTGTGTCCTGTGTGACGGGGTCGGACGCTGTAGAGCTTGTCGTGACCAAACCTACCTCATGGAAGGATACTGCACGCCTGACTGTGGACACGGATTCTACGCTGACCAGAAGACCAGGACCTGCCACGGTAAAAACATGATGTCTGCTTTATGTTTGAAGTGAAAAATGTTATTGTCTCAAAAACCAACTCACATAGACTCAACTATTATTTTGTAAATACCAACATTTCTGACTGTAAAAACTGCCTGCTGTTGCTTTAGGAACTAACACTTCTACCAGGGCTAGTAAACACTGTTCGTCATCCTCCAGACACAACGTGGTTGAAGAAGCCTCAGGGCAGAAATCACATTACTCCTGTCCAATATTCAGCATTATGATATTGATTTATGGTGCTTGTCATTGTGCGTCTCTGTTGGACCGCCGCACTAATTAGCTTCAAGGTCTTTATTTTCAAGTATGTGATTACTGTGTTGCTGCTCTGTGCCGGTGACAACTCACATGCAGATGGCGTGTCTTTAGTAAAAGATCAACTTAAACAACAAAAACACTTTGTTTGGAGATTAGTTAAACTCAAGCTAAATACTGCGTGTGTTTTGCACTGTGCAGAGCATGTGAAGCTGCATGAAACATCCAGTAACTATCCACCTTATGGTCTGTCTCATCTGACTGAAGCCCAAATACCACCACAGTGATGGCATTTTTATTGTTAATGAAATCAAGAAAGCCACATAAATAATGAAAGTTAATCTCAAGGCGTCGCATAAAAACAAATCCACATGGCTGGTTGCTAGGCAACAGGCCGGTTAACCAAGGCATACAATGATGGAGCTTACAGAGAAATCCCACGGCCTGACGCTGTGTGAGGTGAAGTTGTTAAATGTTAATGTCGCGCCAAAGCTACAGCTCATAACGTAAAATATGTGTGTGCTGTTCCCCTCTGATTAGTCTCACAGCAACAAATACACAATCGGTGCTATTTTACAGTTTATCTAGAACAGCGGGTCCCAACTGGTCCAGCCGCAGGGTCCAGATTTCTCCTAAATCATTAGTCCAAGGTCCACACAGTTTAATATATTCAGTGTCATACTTGTGTTTGGCCGTGTTGTGGAGCTAGTTTGCTGTCTCTGTTTAGTAGCTGTCCAGTATTTGCTCTACATTAGGACACAGCACTTTAAAACACTGTACTTCAAAATAAAGGTTTTTGGGGTTTTTTCAAACCTGACACTGTGACCCACCAGTTTGGAACGACTGATTTAGAACAAGTCACCAACAGCGATGCTGAGATTCACATGGTGCGAGCATGGTGTTGCTTCCTGGCTGAAATTCACAGGTAGAGTACAAATACTCACTTTGGTTTTCAAACTAGGATAAAGGAGTTTGGATGGTGATGAATTCAGCCGGATGTACAGGTGTCTCGTTGGCTCCACAGAGGTCAGGGAGTGACTGTTCAATCAGGTCTGACAGGCTAATTACTGAGCTGTCAATCATACATATAAAGCAACTCCGGGGGGGAGCTGTATTTTATATTGTGGATCTTTCCCTGTCTGTGAAAAAAAGACTGTGCAACTACAATAGATTACATTGGATCAGATAAAATTAGATTCAACTTCATTTTCATTGCACAGTGGTACTGAGACAATGAAATCAAGTTTAGTATCTAACCAGAAGTGCCAAATGTGTTTGAATTAGGAAATTCTGATGGAAAATCTCAGAGGAACAGAAGGGACATATTGAGGAGTAATTGATAACATTTGTTGGTGTTGATGGCAACAACCTGGATCTGAGTTTTCTAATGAATGGCAGCCGATTAATGTCTTTATATCAGCCGTTTAAAGCCACACAAAATTGATTTTTGTTGGCAGTGCAACTGTCATTACTAGTTTCAGACTGACGCATTTTCACAGCCAGTGCCCAATTTGTGTAGGTAATGTAATTGTGCCCATCTGTGTGCCCATGAGCATGTACTGTAGGTCCTAAACTCTGTGGTAAGGTGTATTGCTGTTTTAGACAGCAGAAAGCGATTGCGCCATTGACCAACAAACACCTGGTTTAAAGTCAGAATGGCGCAGTATTGTCCTGCTATTTGAAGGTTGCATTTTTTAGATGTGTACACTCTGTTTGTTACACACACATAGATGTGTGGATGGGTTGCAAGTAGATGAAAAATCATTAATGAGGAAAAATATGAATTCTATTCTGTAAAATGTAAACGTAGCAGAGAGCAGAGCAGAGCTGCTGTCTGACTCCCCATAAAGAAAGACGCTGTGTGCATTTACGCATGAGAAATGGCGTAACTTTGTTATATCACGTGCTTAAAGTTTAGATCTGTTTCCTCTGTCAAGTTTAGAGCTTTCGGTTTTTAGTTTTACTGCTTAAATGTCAGCGCAGTGGGGATGGGCGATAGTCCAGTACAGGTCCAGTTTGGGGACCTCAAAATTGCATCTCTGCTCTTTACAGATGATGTGGTTCTGTTGGCCTCATCACACTGTGACCTCCAGCATGCACTGGACCGGTTTGCAGACGTGTGTGAAACAGCAAGGTTCAGAGTAAGCACCTCCAAGTTTGATGCCGTGGTTCTCAGTTTGAAAACGATGGGTTTCCCCCTCTAGGTTAAGAGAGAGTTGTGTGGTGTCAACAGTGACACCGGCACTGTGCCAGACTGTCATGGTAAAGAGGGACCTGAAGTGGAAGGCAGAGCTCTTGATTTACTGGTCTATCTATGTCCCAAACCTCACCTATGGTCATGAGCTTTGGGTAGTGACTGACAGAATGAGATTGCAGATACAAGCGGCCAAAATGAGTTTCCTTCGAAGGGTGGCTGAGCTCTGTCTTAGATATAGGGTGAGGAGCTCAGACATCCTGAGGGAGCTCGAATACAAACCTATTGCCCCTTGTGCCTGACTTTGCGCCCAGATTATGCACCATTTAACAAGCAGAAGTGGAGGTGGACACACCCTAAATGCGTTTGCGCCATTTACTTGAGACCAGCAGTTATAGATTGTTTAAATAGGGCCCAGTAAAAATATGTGATAGATAACATTTGCCTAAATACTCCTTCAGCAGATACAGCATTAGCATTCATTATGGGTGAGTCAGCTATTGAAAGCCACTATACAGACAGTCGTAAAAGTGTATTTCAGCTCTGTGACTCCTCTTTTAAAGAGTCTGGTTTAAGTCAGGTGCTGCTGTCTTTTCAGCCGTCTGGAAGATGAAATCTGGAATAATAGACTGCCAATATGAAGTGCCTGACATGAGGAGTTTCCTGTTATTAAAATACTAATTGGTTCTCCCGAGTAACACTGAAAAGAGCATTGTCTGCAGAGTCAGGTCATTAGAGGAGTACTTTTATTTTTTGGCTTTTATGTTCAAACAGTGCTCATCAACCTGCAGGCAGAGATGCCCGAGGCCTTCACGATCACACTGTGGTTGTGAGATGATTTATGAAATTTGACAAAGCATAATTATAATAGAGAAATATATTATCATGCGGCCTTTGTGATAAATGCTTTCTTCTTGTGAAATAATGAACATTTTTCAGCCTCTAGGCTTCAGCTAATCCACAAGTTAATCAAGCGATATAGCCTGGAACAAAATTACTTTTTTTGTTGTTTTCTTTTTCATTTTTTTTCATTTTTGCCAGCCAAGAAAAAAAAGTTGAGAAAGTAGTAAATTATAGCCTTATTCTCATTTAATTACATGGCCGAAAGTTTGAGAATTTAGAGTGCCTATTGGCATCATTAGAGGAGATATAATGAGATTACAATGTGGCCTCTCAAAAGAGCTGATCTTTAAAAAGTTCCCCAACAAAGTCAGTTCCAATTAAAGCCAACTTCTAAAATGCCACGCCAAGATCGGGATGCCTTGCTCGTATATCACCAGCCGTTTCACACACACACACGCACACACACACACACACACACACGCACACACACACACACACACACACACACACACACACACACACACACACACACACACAGCTCCTGTTTTTATTTCATAACCTCCTCTCATCTCTACACCCACTCACAGTCGGATCCAGCTGCAGGTTTATTTAGATACATTTAAGGCTTAAAGTGCATTAAAATGTATAAATGAGAGAGGCTGTATGTTTTTTTTTTTTTTTTTACTGCATTATGAAAGGTTTTTCTTTCAGAGCTTTCACTTAATTGTTATTACAAATTAGTGATGACACCTGTCAGTTATTTTCTACAATATGCAGTTTGTGGTATTTGTACCATTCTTTAAAGGAAACATAAATGATCAGGCAAAAGACATTTCTTTTATATTTAATGGGATTCAAATTAAACTGTAAGGCATCAAAGAATAACGCAATCACTCAACAAAACATAACAATAAAGAAAATACTGTGATGGTCCCCGTTCAAAAGTTGAGCAGAAGACAATACACACACTTACACTAAAAGTAAAGAATGTTTTCCATGGTGTCAGGTATCATAGAAGTTGTATTACAATGCTGAGTCGTGGTTGATAAGTTGCTGCAGGTGATTGTGGACACTCCTCCTACACAGCTGTGTAGTTGTGAGCTGCATGTAAGCACTGTGTCACTTTGTGAGTGTTGTGTCTTGAGAAAGGTCTCTGAGACTGAAATGTCAACCTTGTCTAAATAAATAAATGCAAAAGTAAAGAAGTGTCTGCAGGAATTACAATTATTTATCAAGTCCCCGTTCAAAGGTTTGCTTACCCTTAGTTCTTAATAGTGTGTATCGCCACCTTTAGCATCAATGACGGCCTGCAGTACTTTCTAATAGTTGCGGACACGGTGTTTGATTTTCTCAGGTGGTAAAGCTGCCCATTCTTCTCGGTAAAAAGCCTCAAAGTCCTGTAAATTTTTCTGTTTTCTTGCATGAACTGCAAGTTTGAGATCTTTCCAAAGTGGCTCTATGGTATTGAGATCAGGAAACTGTGATGGTCACTCCAGCTCCTTTAGTCTTTGCTACTGTAGCCACTGAAGGGTCGACATGGCCTTGTATTTTGGATCAGTCATGTTGGAAGGTCCAAGTGCCTTCCATGTGCAGCTTCCAGATTTATGAATGCAAATTGTCCTCCAGTATCGTCCATGCTTCACAGTAGGGAAAAAAAAGTAAGAACACTTAATTTATTTCCATTTGCAGTATTATATTTGGTGGTATGGCTCTGTTCTAGGGCCTCCCTACATTTCTTAGGCCTACGCAGAAAGCCTCTTCCTGTGCCTACGTGGAAAGCTAAAGGGAGAGAAAGCAAACCCTTCCACCCTTCCACACACTTACGTGGAAAGCCTTAAATCAAAGTGAGCATATTCCTCTGCCCTTCCATGTGCAAACAGGGAAAGCCTTAAGGCAGAGAGAGCAAACCTCCCTGCCCTTCCATGCGCCTACATGGAAAGCCTGAGGCAGGGAGAGCTGCAGCATAGACCCCCCGGGAACAGAACAGCAGCATCAATGACAAACAGAAATGACATTCATGAGTCAGACACAGCATGAAAAGGAGGAGCTGGGTTGGAGGCAGGTTGCATATCAGCTTGCAGAGGAAGCAGCAACAGTAGGCAGGTCAGAGCAGTTTAAATAGGGTGCCCTGATTGAGATTAGCTAATTGGTTGCATAGAAAGGAATCATGTGATCTATCAGCTGACTCCCTTCATCATTCAGCTGCTCCATCAGTTGACTGGGCTGCTTGAGATCAGCTGATGTAGCTGGGACATGAGCTGAGCTTTACATCGTGTCCTGCCTGAACTAATGCTGTGCTCAATATTTGGTCTCATTACTCCAAATGATTTCATCGTCAAAAAAATGTCCAGTTTTCACAAATTCTGACTGTATTTTTTTCTTTTTTGTGAGATAATTTTAGAGTTTTTGGTACATTTTTCTTCTCTTTATACATTTAAATGTTTTATTTTAATCACATCTGCTAAAATCAGTTAATTGGACCAAATCCCAAAACCATTAGTTAATGAGTGTGCTCACGAACTTGAACTTTTAAAGTGTGCTTTTGGGAATAAGCTGCTCTTAACCTGAAACCTGTCTCTGTATTTCTCTGATTAATTTCCTACTGTTCTGTATTATATTTCCACTTTGATATTGACTTGTAATGTTCAGTCCACTGATACTTCATGAGCCTTATTTGCTTCTACTTTGTTCATGATTTTGTGTAGCAGACTGATCTCCTCACAGAATTCATTAACGTGTGTTATCTTGTGTGTGATTCACCTCAGAGATGAAAAATGTAAACTGTTTAATCAATGTTCATGTTCAGTTTGGATTTGATGATAACACTAAAGATAATTAATTTTGTTTTTCTGCCTTTTTCCATCCTCTCAGTGAACACCCACCCGCCTGCCCTCCAGGTCAATGGCTCCCTGCTGGTTCCCCTCGGCGGTTTTGCTCCGCTGCCCCTCACCCTGCTGCAGGTGAAGGATCCCGACAGTTTATCTGACCGGTTGATCTTCCAGCTCGTTCAGGGCCCGAGTAACGGACGGCTGGTCCTGTTCAGTGGGGAGGAAGGACAGGAGAGAGGGGGCAGAGGAAAGGCTGGCCGAGACCTGACCAGGGATGACATCTTCACCTGGGCGGAGCTGAGAACCGGCCGGGTTCGGTTCAGACACCAAAAAGACAAAGCCAGGTCAGTGGCTCTGATGTGGTTTTGGAAGGATGTTTAGGGAGACAGAGAAAGAAAGAAAATTCACCCAGAAGCACCCAAAAACTTTTAAAAATGAGCTTGCTATGATGTTTGGTGTGAAACAACCAGACAGCCTGGCAACACAATTGAATATCTCCAGCAGGTACAGTGGAATTTAAAAGCAAAAAACAGCCTGAAATCTCAGTGGTAAATGTCAGTTCTCTGTATCTGGTTCCTCAGAATCAAAGAATGAGGGCTTCTTTTCAGAGTTGCCATTTTGCTCTGACATTCAACAGTGACACAGGACAAAAAATCCATAATGCATTAGGTATAAAAAGATTTCTACACCAACAGGAGCAGGAAAAGTGATGCAGCCACAAGTTAAAGTTTTAAAGTCACAAGCTTTATTTTACTTGTTTTCCATGCAAAAATAATTACTGACAGTGTGGAAACCAAATAGCTGCTACACTTAATAACGTCCTTCTAATGATCCACAAATAAATTAGGATTTCACAAATTTGTTTTTGGTAACACCACTATAAAATTAAACCCAAAAAACAGCCACACGTCTACGTGTATTGTAATTAAAAATGCAGAGCTCCAGGCCAGACTCGTTAGAGGAAAGATGAGGCAGTTATTCAGTGTTTTGGATGGAGATACTGGGTGAAGACTGGCAGGACTGAACAGTCCTGAGGGAGTCATTAGCCAACGGAGACGTTTTAATTGATGTCTGATTTTCATGTAACCGTGTGAACTGTTTTCAGTGCAGCCAACCCCGACACGCATGTTCATTTACAAAATAATTAATCATAATGGCACCTTTGATGTGCACTTAAGCACAGAGGTTTCTGTGGTTATTTTGCAACAGTCTGGCTGCACAAAATTTAACCAGCTGGTCTGCCATGTGTAATTGTGGCTTGACAGTGAGCCACATCACTTTGATTAGAGATCATACAGATACCTGCTGCCTTCAGGTGGCTGTGAGGAGGGTCACCGCAGTAAGGGAAAGGCCGATTTATACAGCCTCCTATCACAAATCACTACTTTGCCTCAAAGGGCTTTATGATCTGTGCAGCAGACGACACCCTCAGCCCTCGTTTCGATAAGGAAAAACTCAGACCAAGAAAACATTTAATGAGGAGAAACTAAAAGAGCAACTAAGGAAGGATCCCTCTCCATGGATGGACAGACAGGCACTGATGATGGGGCTGAAACATTTGCTGCTGCTTTTAGTCACTCATCATGTTTTTTGCACTTTGAGCACCTTTCTGTGCACACGTCTTAAATGAATAGACTAGTTTTGCATTGATGTCCTTTTTGTGGCTTTCTAGCCCAGTTAGATAAGTGTGTGAGTATCTCCTCTGCTGTCCCTTCTTGGACAGACATAAATAGATACTGTGTGCACCACTCTTGGTACCAAGCTTGCAGTACGGAGCTGGATTGGCATCACCACAGCCTCTGCAGCACCTCTCCTCCCACTGTGATGCACAGCAAGCCACCAAAACACCAAAGTGCTGCAGGCAAGAAAATAACCTCAGTGTGCCCCAGGAACCAGTTGAGAGGTGCAACACTGTGCTCTGTGCTGGCACAACACCACAGCAGATCCTTAAAAAAAGACACAGAGAGATAGAGACAAAAAACAGGGGGTACACACTTGTGACTAAGTGAGACAGGAACTGTGCATTTGAGCAGAGGGAGAAACTTTATTTCAATCAGGAGAGACAGGAGAGTGAAGTAAAGATAATATTTAATACAGAATATGAGTGTACAAATTAATAGATGATTTGTGCTGATTAAGATTAAGCAAAGGCGCTTGGACACCAGAGGGCAATATTTTGCGATCAAGGGATATCTAACCAGCTGCGGGATAAATCCCCCGATGGAGTCCAGACACCGGTGGTGGTGGCTGATGACTCTGAGGCTCCTGACCGATGAGGCTGATGAATCCGTAAAGACTGGGTGGTGAGGGGGAGGTGGTGAGGGGGAGTTGGAGGGCGGGCACGACGGCAGCAAGACAGAACTACGGCAGAGAAAGAACCACATTTAAAATGAGGAGCAGTGACATGATAGGCTGACAGAGAAGGTGTGTCACTGGGCTATCGGTTGATTGTGAATCAGCTGATGATTCAGTTGACCTCAGTCGTCATTTCCGTGACTGATGTATGCGGGAAGTGTAACACATTGCGCCAAAATCTCTCTGTAGGTGTTCATTTGAGGTGCACCACTTGCAGAAAATGATTCATCACTTTCTTTTTTGTGATCAAATTTTTATTTTGTTTCCTTGTAAAATATTAATAATAAACCATATTCGACTGACCTATTGTCTAACCCTTTCCTCCCCACTGTGGCTGGCTTAGGGTGACCTGTGATGGAACAAGAGAGGGAATAAATAAATAAATTATATTATTAATCCACATAATTTTCATACTCATCAAACCATCCAGTGAGCCCTCGTTCCCTGCATGGAAGCAACTACATTTGTCATTTTTCATCACAAATGTATTAATGTTTTCCTTTAATTAGTCACCTGTTTGTAAAACTTTAAGATAATGCTTTTCCCAGACTTTCCAATTTACAACCAACACTTCAGATGTACTGTAAAACAATTAATAGCCTGGGCTTTTATTTGCATAAATCCCTGAAATCAACAGGCTTATATTTGGGACAGGCCTTTAATTCCTTTCACATGTTTCAACTGTTGCTCAGCAACGATCAGAAAATACAATCCAATTGTTTATTTAAACCAGTATGAATATTACTTGTTTAAAAATTAGGCTTCAGATAATATATCAATAACAAATCAGTCATTTGATCTATAGCGCCGACAGACAGAGCATCAGAGAGTGGGCTGTGGCACTTGGGGATTTCGGCACCCTATATACCAACACAACACCACTTTATCCCATTAAAACAATATTCACAACTTGGATTAACTTTTATGATAATCTCTTTTGATTATTTTGATCTGAGGACCCTTGCAGACTAAAGGAATATGAATATTTTACAGGGTAATTGAGGAATGGACACATAATTTGAGGCAGCCAACAACTTGGTTTTATACATCCACAGAACTTCTATAAAAAACGAACTGCTTGGCAACCAGACAAGATGTCTGATTGAGACAGGACTTTCTTTGACAAAATGTGTAGCCACACCAGGCTGATTAAAGGGACTTAGCGTTTAATTGAAGTTTTACAGTATCTGGAATTAATTTCTCCTTTTGTTGCCAAAGTGTCAGTTTTAGTCTTGTCACTTTTAATATAGAACTTTTCAGCTTGTCTGCCTCCTCTCCACTCATGAGTATCCTGACATTTCATCTTTTGCTGCTCTTGTTTTCGACCCAACTGCCTGCTGTCTCTCTGATTTATGCAGTTTTCCTGTTTGGAAAGTTCATTTCCATTAACCTTCACATGGACTGGAGATGCATTACATTTACACTTCTTAGTTAATGTGGCCCAATTTGCATATGCATTTGTTCTGCCTTTTTTTTTTTTCGTGCCCTGTATTTGACAGTGTGATTTCCCCAGTGTGAGCCTCGGCGCCAGAGATCAAAGAGGCCGCTAATATGTATAGAATGAATTCATGCCGCCTCTTTAGGGCCCAGGCTGGAGCCAGTTGTCCTCACTGCAGCTGCTCCGCTGTGGCCTTTTCCTGCCACATGTCTGCGACATTTTGGGTCAGAGCCCAATGTCCATTCAGCCAATCAGATTCGACATGTTTAGCACATTGTTTAATCCTGACTCAGCTGGTGCGGCCCTGATCTGGAGACACGCCAGTGAATTAGCAAAATATGGTCCGCTGCCCAGTTTTGAGCCATTAGATTAATGGAGACAATAAAACATAAAGCCCCAAATAGGATTTAATCTGCATATTATAGTCATATTTGTCAAATTATGTGGAGTGGGGGATAATGGCTTCAGACAGAGCCACAAACAAATGCTCTCAGGTTTGACTCCAATAAGAGTCGACACAGAAAAACATGTTGCATCCAAATGTCCTATTCACACACTACACGTCCCTGTGGATAAAACACACAGTATAAAAATATAATCGTGAGATGTGGTGGGTGGTTATAGATGAGCTGAATCCTTTTCATTTTTCACAGAAGGTATTTTCATTCATCACTCCCTCAGCAGAACATGTCAAGTGTCAAGACACAAACTGAGTTTTATGTTCTCGAGTGGCGCACTTCACTATTGAGAAGTATTTATACACACATACCAGCACTTGGATCAAAAGCTGCTCCACTTTTGTCTCATGGCTGCATTGAAAAAAAAATAAAAATCTATCTTTCATCTGTAATGAATCCAACAAATATACCAGTCACATTTATAACCTGCACATTAAAAGAGATTTAGGAGTATTATGTGAGAAATATATTCCTTATGTTACTTTAATAAGCTGTCCGATACATCTTTAATGGGCCACAATTTTTCTAACCATAACAAATGCTGTAAAGCTGCAACAAAGCTCACTTCTGTTGCCAGAAATTGTAATTCAAAAAGAGCTTTATCATTGTTGAGAGACGCTGTGAGAATGTCTTATGTGAGGGATGAATTTTAAAGAGGAGCAGTCGTGGTAAGCTGGCCAAGTTTTTCACGAAGACGCCGCGTTGCTCAAGTATTGTGCAGATAGCAAATATACAAATGGGCGACGAAGGAAGAGAAATGCCAACATGAGGTGTCTTAGAGAGGTTGGAGCAGGAAAAAGCCTCCAGAACAGCTTCAGTGCCTCTATATTCTTCATGTCACTGCATGAATGAACGGCATTCTCCCAAAAGATTAAACCTCATACATTTCCAAAGCCCTCACACTCTCTGTGTTATTATACATGGCCTTTATCAGGATCAATTATGAGATGACGGACAGATTTCATAATCAGGAGATGGATTTATTGGTTTAAATGTTGAAATCATGCTAAAATTACTTTATTTATATAGCACCTTTCATACAGCAAACCGAACAACACAGAACAAACTAACAAAATAAAAGATGGTTAAAAGTCGATAGATAATAAGAAAGTAAATAAATAAAACAGAATAAAAATAAATAAGAGGGTATGAAAAAAGGTAAAAACCAATGGTTAAAACTTAAAAATCAAGACTGTAATGTCACCCCACATTAAAAAGCCAGATTAAAAAGATGGGTCTTTAATGTACTTTTAAAAGAGACTTTTATACAGAGAGAGTTTGCCTTTCTAATATCTAGAGGCAGTGAAATCCACAATAAAAACAGAAAGTGCTCTCACCAGTACTTTTATGGGACACTTGAGGAACATTTAAAAGTAAAGCAGTGGAGGACCTCAGTGATCTGTCTGGAACAAAAGATGATAGAAAATCTTTGATGCATGGAGCAGCAAGGTCATTTAAAGGTTTATAAACAAGTAGAAGAACTTTAAAATCAATTCTAAAGATACTGATGTCCGGTTTAGTGACTTCAGCGGTGGTTCACTTCTAACTGTAGTTTTCTTGTTGACTTTTGGGGTTGTCCAGTGTAAAGGGAATTGCAATAGTCAAAACAGCTGGTAACGAAAGTATGAGTAAGTATTGCGGCAGCTTTCTGGTTTACGTAAGGTCTGACTTTAGTGACGCTCCGAAGATGAAAAAGGGATGTTTTGAAGATCTTGTTAAAATGAGAAGTAAAATTTAAATCAGAGTCAACTGAGTACCATTTTTGTCTCGCTGCTTGTGGCCAAATTAAGGCAGCTTTCAGACCTAGAGTCGTCTCCTTTGGTCTGAATCAGGGACTCATGTTGTTCCAAAGTTGTATAATTGCCTAGAGTTGGTTCGTGTTCTCACGGCAGCATTTACAAGCGGACCAGATCAAATGTCTTGTGTGAGAAAGCTGCTCTTGATTGGTCAGAATTTCCATGTGGGAAAAATCCAGGAAGTAAAGCAAACGTTGAAGAAGAGTACACTTGCAAGATAAATGTGACACTTTCTAATGTCACAATGGAGGGACAACTACGCAGGTTGATTTTAGCGCTGCTCATCGTGGACTATATTGCTGTCATTGTTCATTTTAGTCAAACCATACAGTTTGAAAACGAGGCGCGGCTCCAACTAGAAAACAATGTTTTGATGCATTGGATGTGCTGAATGTGCATATTAAGGCAGTACAGGAGGAGGTGCACATTAATAATCCTCCAGGACTGTAACATGCTCATGCTTATTCAACCTTGCATTTGGTTTGGATCGAGGTGGGAATACGTTCTCACCACAAAGGAACCACACCAGAATGTGTTTGTAACTGGACCAAGACCACCTCTTCAACAAGGAGCACACCCGAGTGCAATTGCTGTGTTCACACCTGCTCCAGCACACCACACTTATGGGACAAACGAACTAGAGTTGTCAGCGATACAGACATACAATTGTGTGTCATCAGCATAAATATGATAATTTACATAGTGATGGCCATTAATCAGGTATCTGCTATCATACGACCCTGTGGTTGGTTGGTTTTCTTTCACACCACAAACAAACTGCACTGGAACCACCATGTTATCATTCTGAAGAGGGGCCACTCTGCACAATAACTTTTAGTACTTTAAATATATTGTGATGCCTCTTTGACGCCCTTTTATTTGTGAGAGTATTTCTGCACTGTGGTACTGCCACTTTTACCTAAGTACAACATCTGAGTACTTCATCCACCGCTGTCTGACACTGAGGATAAATTTCACAGGGTATCTGCCTGCTAGCTATTGCTTCAGGGCACGAAAGGAGTTCACTTTACTTTAAGGAGGTTTGCACAACTCACTAAAACTAAGACTTTTTTCAAAAGCAGCATTTTTGATTTATGAATCCCACAGCTATCCATCTATCTGCACATGTCAGCTACAGTATGCTGTGGTATTTTTAATGTGAGATAACAGACCCTTTAATACAGGTTGGGTAAAGATCGCCATCATAGTTTAATATGTAAAATAGTAAACATAGTGTAGCTCTGAGAGGGATGTGTGTTGCAACTTTATCTTTCTCCACACCACAGAAAGTGAGATTATGATTTTTGAAAATGTCACTGTAGTACCTTCATGTAACACTTTGTTCGCTTCAGCTTGTCACCATAATTCCCTCTCAGTCGTCCCTAAACCAACAGCCTGCTCAGTCATTAGTCTTCAGCCGCAGTTGGCTGTGTCCCAGCCCCAGCCCCAGCCCCAGGGACTTGTGGGTAATAAGCCTTGTCTTTGATGATGCTGAGGTGGCACGGTGAGAGAAGACGTTGTTGATGATAAAATGTGTCTGTGTGTGAGCAGGTGGGCTGGTGTGTGTGTGTGTGTGTGAGGTTACTGTCTGCCACTCACCTAGATAGCACTGAGGTGATTAGGTCTAATGAGTACACGCTAGGTGAGCCCCACAGGACTCATTTACCCAGAAACCTCCAGGGCCAGCTGGAGGCTGTTTCTAGGTCATGTTCATTCAAAGGGAGAGAACAAACTTTAACCTTTGAAATCCAAAGTTTTTTTTCGAGAGTGTGTGCTTTCAAACGATTGAACAATATCTCCCTCCCTCTTTCTCTTCTGTCTCTCTTTCTGTAGGACTGGTGAGTTCACCTTGCGTGTGGCCGACCCCCAGCTGTTCTCCCAACCAGGAACGATTCAAGTTCAAGCCGTGTCAGTGCAGGTACCGTATAATAACACAGACACTTTCTTTAGCTCTCCTATATCTCAATGACTGCATCTTTTTTCCCACAAAAGGCTCGAGAGAAATAAACTGTCTTAAAAATGCCATAAAAAGCTGCACCCAGAGACTGTAAGTCATCATATTCTCCCAGCAGAAAATTAGCTACAAATAGATATATCTAATAAAGATAGCTGTGCAGGTCAATTCAGTAACATTACAGGTAAAAGAGAAGAATAGTCTGCCGGGGAACATTGGTTTCCAAATTTAGTTTACTGTGGAACAATAGGCTGTCTCAGTCTGTACCTTGAGGTTAAAATGCCAGGTCGATACTTGTGTCCTTGTCGAGAAAGTTTGCCTCGGAGAGAAACATGAACAGTTCAGACACACAGCGCTCTATTTTCAGTTTCTAACAACTTTATACTGTTTACAAATGATGCTCAGTTTATGGCCCGCAGGCCAAATTTGGCCCTCGATCGGGTGCCGAGTGGCCTGGAAACCATTTTCTAATTCACAATTAAAATTGATTCACACTGGGATTTTTTTTTGTACTTTGGATGTAATAAGGTGCCAGAGTGCATATACAGCATCAACATAGAGCTTGTTTATCAAAAAAAGGTGCCAGGGGAGGATGCCCGAATCTCCGACAGAGGTCTGAGCAAAGCCCTGAATGTCTTCGCCCTTGTGTACACCTGACCTGTGCGGGGCTTCTGCAACTGGCCCACAGCCTGCTGTCGTTCGGCAAAATTGGCCCCAGGGCAAAGCAAGTTGCTGTATAATGTTGAGCTTTAAGGTCACAGGGTCATGTTCTTGGATTGATTTTTGAAGTTTCTCTCCTCTTGTCAAGCCAATAAATGATGGATAAAGTGACACAGCCAGCAGAGGAGCGGCAGAAAAAAGGACACCAGTTCACTTTCTACAGACAAAGTAAAACAAATAACATTTAGCATTTAATTTATATTTTTTCTGGTATGTCTAAATGACTATGAATACATGTCTTTGGCCCATTTGACTGTCAAGCAAACTACAAAATTTTCTCGTATCTTTGTTTGACATTTTAAAGGTCCAGTGTGTAGGATTTAGGTGAACACAGTGGCAGAAATGGTATATAATATAATAAGTGTGTTTTCATTAGTGTACAATCACCTGAAAATAAGAATGAGTTGTTTCTAGTACCATTGTTTGACTTGTCTGTTCTGGGCTACTGTAGAAACATGGCATTGCAACTTGGCAATTTCTGTGGATCAGGACTGGCACCCTATATTGGACCATTTGCCATGTCAAACTACTTAATTCAGTGTTTTTTTTTTACCAGTTTAAATCACCTGGCCTGTTTGTTTTGGAGAGGAGGAGACCTCTGTGGATAATTCGGCTCCTGGTAAAAACCTACTGAGCGATGAACATTGAAGGAATTCTAACCGAGAGAAGTTTCAGCTGGTTTCAGCCCTCACCGCTGGATACCACGAAATCCCTCTAAATGTTACACACAGGACCTTTAAATTTTTTGACTCCTGAGTAAATAATGTTTAATCTTTATGGAGTTTTTGACCAGGAGCGATTGCTCTGAGACAACAAGGGAGGCTGAACTTCCCCTAAAATTTCATAGAAAAAATGGTCAAACATGCACTATTGAATTTAGAATTTACATTGCATTAAACGTGCGCTAGGATGCGTTTCACATCATGACTATGATGTTCAAACATCATCTGTTTATCACCAGTTTTCAAACGCGACCTCCCTGTCATACATTCTTGTGTCAGCACAGTGGACGCGGAGCCTCCAAGCATTCCTATGAGACAGCGCTGACGGTCATTGGATAAATGCGATAAAATTGTTACTTCCAGGGAGGCTCAGCTTCCTTGGGACCTAATGGAGCGGTAGGCGGGAGAGGACGCTCGGTGTCTGCATGATGATTGGAGGAATTGTCTAAAAGGCTGAACCCATTTTCGCATTTCGAGCTCAGTCCCATGCAGATATTTGCGAGTGGAGTCTTCTGACAGAGTGCCGTCCGGAGTTCCTTATTTCCATAAGCCATATAGCTCATTTTTACCGTTTGTAAACCCATCTGAAAATCTTTGAGCTGTGTGTTGCTGTGGTTCTATGGCATGAGTGTGGTTGAAAAACGGCTTCAATTAAATGTTCCTTTTATAAGTTACTGCCTCGCTACAATATGACACATTTTATGATGTAAACTTAAAGTGAGCTTCCCCTGTTTGAAAGACCAGCAGCCGCCACTGTTTTGGACAGATGTAATAAGTAAATGGAGCACAGAACAAATAGATACTGTGGTTTACAATAAAACAACATATTTAACTGGCTACATGATCAGTTTGCTACAGTGATCCCATAAATAATCGTGTTCCTTCAATAGTGGTTCACAATATATCCCATCCTTTTTTTTTAACAACACAGAAAAACACTCAGCTGAGAACTTCCTGTAGCGCCACCTTGGTATCCAACAGACATCCATTATATATACGTACATAGCATATGAGATACAGCAGCTTTACAGTCACTGTGGACAACAAGCAGCCAAAGTTAATCTGGTAGATCGGATCCTTTTTAGAGTATAGCCGTATCTCATTTTGCTGCATCATCCCGGCTGATCTGCATCTCTCACTGTTTTGAGACTCAGTCCCACGGACGGACGCAAGGGCTGTGATTGGTCAGTCAAGCTGACCTCTGATTATGGGCCCAATATGGAAAAAAATAAGGAGCGAGGGATCAAAGGCTCTCCGTCTCTCTGTGAGATTTGTTGATGGGTTAGTGTGATAGCTGTGTTACTCTGCTCCGTGTGTGTGTGTGTGTGTGTGTGTGTGTGTGTGTGTGTGTGTGCCGTAAAGACTTACATAGGGGACAAAGTGACAGACGGCTGATGGAAAATAGCAGAGCTGAAAACATGTGGAACAAATTGAAGTTACGATGAAATTACCTGAGTGGAAAATGTTTCATTTGTCTTTTATTAGGAAAAACTAAATCATCCATATCTGTCACTACACGCAGACTTTCATCAAAAATGTCTTGTTTTAGGAAGTAGCTTTGGTATAGTTAAGTATATAAGTGTAAATACTTTAATTAAAGTTAATTTCTAAAACTGAAATAAACAGATGGGAAAATTGATACAGTCTGTGGGGGTGAGGAAACGTCTCTTGACTCAGAGCGGCTTCTTAATTCCTGTCAGTGTTTAGCAAACATTGCAACAGTTTTATTTTTTAAGGTCTCTGTAGTAACAAAATCCACTTTATTGCCATACGTGACTGCTTTCTTAAATTTAAGTAAATGAGTGTTGCAGGCGCAGAGCTCAGAGTGCTGCGTGCAGATGGTGATTGAGTGGAGCGTCGGTGTTTGGGTGTGTTGGGGGGGACTGCTCAATTACACTATCACTTGATTAGCTCAACTTTCTCAGACAGTATTAACAGAAGCAGCTGATAAGGAAAGAGCAGTAATTTATGCACATAATAACTCAACGTCTGTGACTGCGTTTTGACTGACAGTTGGTCGGCCATTTTAGGCCACAAGTTTCCTGCTAGTGTCACTATTTATTACGATTAAACTCATATTATTATTTAACAGCAGCCTTTTTTATGCAAACAATCCATGAGACTTTAACATTAGTGCGAGAATTTGTCCCACAATTTGTCAACAACTTCTGTCTTTATTCATAAAGCATCGTTCAGGAATGAACACTTACATTTTCGTTGTTGAATAAACATCCCAAAAGGACTTGAATTAGCAACAATTTGTAACACTTCATGTATTTCATTATGATGCATCTCATTTTGTGAACATAAACTTCTAATATTGTACACTTCTACAAATCTATATTACTGCTTGGTCTTGAAACTTTGATGAATTATGCAGTGTTTGTTTTTATCTTTTTTCTTTATCAAGCATGACTGTTTATATTTAATAGGGGAGATGTTTTTTTTTTTCCTTCTTCTTCATCTTCTTCTTTCTTTAATATCCTTGTGCATGTGCAAATAGACTAGACTCACAGAAGAACACCATAAATTGCTTTTACAAAAGAAATAAGGCAACAAACTTAAAAACAGACATAAATACAGGCTTTGGAAGATTAAAACAGCATGAAATAGAAGTAAAACTGAATAGAAATAGAAAATAAAAAAAAGAATAAGACCGTCCTCACCACAAAAACAACTAGACTTGTTTTTTGTTTAAAGCTTGAATAACTTATGTTCAAAATAACAGGACTAGACTAAAACATTGACACAGACAAACAGGACAGCTCCTCGTTATAATAATTGAGTAATAATAATTAACATATATGCTTTTTTATGATTTCATTTGGTAAGTAACCGCCAGTTTGGGGCTAAATTTTGCTCTGATGACATGATGATGCTCCATTATTGTAATATTAGACCAAGTATTTACATAATACTACACATTTACATTTGTATGTTTCCATACACACATTACATGTGCATTAAAAGGATTAGTTCCCAGGAAAAACAATATTTTTACTAGGGGTGTCCCTGACTAAGAATTTTCATAGTCGAATCTGATTTGACAGATTTTTCCTTTAGCCTACTAATCATCGAATCATGTTGTTTTCCCCCTCATTGATTAATGAGCTCATTTGCGTCAGTTTCTGCTCCAGAGAAAAGAGCTAAAACACCCAAATAAACAAATTTAATTCTTCAGTTGGCATAATAAGATAATAATAATAAAAGTAAAAGAGTTATCATTTTATCTTTATCTTTATTCCTTTCACTTCATCAAGGTATGATGCTCTAGATGAGCGCAGACGCGCTGCAGCCTCATCCATGTCTTTAACAGGAGTCCTGTCTGACTCGTCAGAACTTGCCATTTCATTCACAAATAAACATCCAAAAACATCATCAAAAGGTTTAGAAACAGTTTTCCTTCTTTCTGACTTCAAGTTACTTCATTAATCAACTCAGGTTCATACAAGTTCATCCACACGGACCTTGCGTCACCGCTCTCAATTGTTTGGCCACGTCGGAAAAAAAGTAGCCAAATAA